AGAGGTCACCTTAATACCAAAAAAAAAAAAAAAAATACAAATTAGAAGATGGTAATTCTAGTGTAGTAGTTGGGTTGCCATCTTCTAAACAGTAGGTCCAATATTTAATTCTTATCAGTGACAGATTTTAAAAAAATAGTCTTATTCTGATAAACTTGTCTGTGATTTGAAGTTTATAAATCCTGTAATTCTGATTATATCAAAACTAACTTTGAAAATGTATAATATCATATGAATAAATTTAGAAAATATATATTTAGATTAGAAGCCTGCTTGGAAATCCCAAATAGAAAGATAATACAACTTTTGATAGTGTCAGCTATAAAGATTTTGATCCAAAAAAGAAAATCTAGAACAGTTGACCTGTATGAGCAAGAATCTCTAAATAGGAGGTCTACTAATCTGGTTATCAGTTAATTCAGATATGAAGTCACATTATGTAAAACTAACTAGATTAGTATTATAGGAGAACTTACAAGAGTAGATGAGATATTGGTAAGGTTATAAAAGAAGAGTACTAGGATTATATGAATTTTGCAAAGATTATAAACTAGGTTTAGCTATAAATTGGAATACAAAAGGCTCTAGTAATGATGTCTTGAAGATAATTTGCATGAAATAAGACAAGGGTCCTAAGGATATAAATAGGTATCTAGAACTTCTTGACTGACATTGTGTAATAAAGATGTTCTAATAATACAGTAAGAATTGCAATACAGAGTTTTAAATAGGCAACATTTATAGTTAGGTTGCAGGTATGGCAGCTAGTATAGAACTTATATATAGGCAGACTACTTAAATTAAATACCAAAAGTATACATATAGTTAAATATATTTTTTAATATAAGGTAACTCCTCTAAGATAATCAGACCATAAGCTATCATGTCTTACTATATTGAATAAAAAAACTCTAATCTTCAAAAGACTAGTTTAACTATAAAAAAAAAAAAAAAATACAAATCATATAGAGGTGTAACAACTTAGTGAAGTAGTCAGATTATTAATTCTTCAAATGATAAATTAAGTAATTGATAATAAAAATTTGAATAATCATCTATATAATATTTATATTATAGTAACTATTACTAATGATTGGGTTAGGATACCTGTAATAACAGTTATACCAGTATGACTAATAAGTTATGAACATTTGTATAACTTATTATATAATAATATATAAACTGACAAATCAGATAATATAAATACTAGATAAGTTCTTATAATCATATAAATCTATTAAAATTAGATAACAAGAAGTTCATTTGAAAAAACTTAAATAAAGAAATAACCAAATCTTCAACATCTCTGCTATAAAGACTAATATAAGAAAACAGATACCAAGGTCATAGTACTCAGTTGTAGTAACTAGACAGACAAAAAACCTCTGAATTAAAAGTTTTAGAGATATTACCAATTAGACTGTCAAAACAAATCAAAGAAAAAAAATATTAAACTAATTTAATATACTAATAAACTAATCATAGTTCTACATGAACTATCTGAATTGGGAGTTTAGTAAAAAAGTAGATGAAAAAGTAAGAGTATACTAAAGTACTGAAATTATGCTGTAAAGTAGATGATAAGATCTATGTGAACTCTACAAAAACATAGTAGTTAAATGATATAATTCTGACTGCAAGTATTGATTCTGTTATAATGATACCTAGATCAACTGTAAAAATGAGTACAGAAGACTCTGAGAAGTTTACCTTGAAGATAAATTAATCTTAAGATTGAGACAATGATCTGAGCATCTGGATATGACCTAATGATGTTAACATAGGTTATAAGTTCAGAAGATTTAAAGTGAAACACCCAAGCAGAGATGTTAGGTATGGCAATTGGTGAGGAACCTTTGGGCAGACTTCTTAAATAGGTAATATAAAAAAGTTACACATGTAACCAATTGTACACTCTCCTGTAGTGGTTCATAGAATCACATTACCAAAAAAAATCATTAATAAAAAATCAAAAGACCAAAGAGATCACCTAACACCAAAAAAAAAAAGCAAATCATATAAATATTCACGGATGTTTATTGAATTTCGATATCGATATATTATTTTACACGAAATTTATGGGTCTGCCCGCATACGTATACGGAAGACTACATAACGAATCTTATATATCCGCAAATATGATTGGATTTTTTTATATTAAGATATAACCTGATTAAATTTTAAATCTTAAAAATTCAAGTTTTCTTATTAAGATTTAATAACCCGGCCGGGTTATGAGAAACAAAAAAAAATTTTGTATGGCCTTAAATATCAATTTACAAAATATATGAAAATACAATCAACTCTTTCTATAACGAACTGACAGTTCTGAAAGAAAAAAACGTTCATTATAGAAAGTTACTATGTTTTTTTAAAGGCCAATGCACTTTCTATACTGAACCATTATAAAAATTGTAAATTTTAGGTTCACTATATCCAGAGTCAACTGTAATAAAATTGCACACGTAATTTACTATAATTAAAAATCTAAAGATTTTTTTATATAGAATGTTTTTAAAAAGGTTAATATAATAATTTAAGGTTTTATTAATAAAGCGTGGATGAATTTTACTGTTATGTGTTTATAAAAATTGACATTAATGCTAAAGTTCTATTTATGCAAAACAACAATGATTGACTGTAAAAAAAAACATTAAAAATGAATTTCCAAGCCTTTTACTCAAGTAATACAAATAAATATTGAACTTTTATCTGTTTGTTTACCTAAAAACTTGTTTATTTAATAAACAATCGATCAAACGACCAGTTATAATTCTGAGTATATTACTCTTTGACTGTTCAAAGTTCATAGTGACCTACACTAGTCAAAATCAGAAAATTCGATTTGTATGGCATCATTCAGTTGTCATTCACCATTGTCGATTGTTAGTCCAGAATGGTGCCATTCGGTATGTCAACTTTTTTTGATTTTGACTAGTCTATGTTCAACTAACGATCAGAGATCTTTAAAATTAGACAATACAAACTATATCAACAAATAATTATGTTGTTTTAAATTTTAAAAGAAAACATTTATAGCATAATATTTATGTATATAATTTCATCGATACAAAAGCCTATTTAAATACCAGAGATGTTCTATTTACTTGTCATGCTTATTCACAAGTATAAATAGGGTATAAAACTTACAAACCCTTAATTAAGTCGGTCAATAATACACTAACATTACAAGAGTTACATAATAAAATAAAGACATGTGTATCCACGATAAGGTTCAATAACTAGACAAGAAATGACATAATTGACAAGTAATTCTAGCAGCATTTTCCTGTTGTCTTGCTGTTGTCATCAGGCAAAGGAGTAACCTGAATGGTCTCTCCAGCAGTTGGTCTGGCAACATCACCGCTGTTAATTTCCAAAGCCTTATTAGATACAATACGGTATATCTCTGAAATATGGAATGTTATAATAATGAGATAAAGGTAACAATAAATTAACAAGCTGAAACAATGCACAAAATTACCGGTTAGAATATTTTGGAAAGCAAGTTCTACGTTACTAGCATCCAAGGCAGAAGTTTCGATGAATGACAAATTGTTTTCCGCTTATAGAATTTGTATGGTATGAAAATATTTAATACAATGATAGATAAAAAAAAAAAGAGTAATGGACATTAATATAAACATACCGGCAAATTGCTTGGCTTCTTCAGTAGGAACTGCTCGCAAATGTCTTAAATCACTCTTATTTCCGACAAGCATAATGACAATATTACTGTCAGCATGATCTCTTAATTCTTTCAACCAGCGGTTGACATTTTCATATGTTACATGTTTGGCAATATCATAAACAAGTAAAGCACCAACAGCACCACGATAATATCTGTGAAAATCATCGCGAAATGTAAAATTTAAATTATATCTAAAACGTTGTGTTTGAGTAACCAGATAAAGATACTTACGCGCTTGTAATAGCTCTATAACGCTCTTGACCAGCTTTTAGGAGATAATTAATTATCAGAATCGTGGTCAAAAAGAAAGAAAGGATTGATATAGTATTTTAAAATTATTACCAGTATCCCAAATTTGTGCTTTGATGGTTTTATTATCTACTTGAATACTCCTGGTGGCAAATTCGACACCGATAGTAGATTTGGACTCCAAGTTGAACTCATTACGAGTGAAACGCGAAAGAAGATTGGATTTACCGACCCCAGAGTCACCAATTAAGACAACTAAAAAAAAAGATTAATCTAATATTAGATAGAGAGCCATCTATAATACCATCTATGAACTAGTTTTTTTTTAAAGCTCAATGAAATACAAGCTGTATGACTTGGTTTGATAATTTGTAGAAATAACATAACAATTTTAAACAATAGTTTTCTGTGTTATCAAGAAAATAATATATAGCGATTAACCCAATAAATAACAAGATGAGGGAACTTTCGTATACGTATAATTGTTCATATTCCTTAACAACAAAATAGAAAAAACCACGGGCAATACCTTTAAAAAGATAGTCATATTCGTCGTCTTTACTCATCTTGAAATTAAAAAATTAAATAAAAAGATGAAAATATAAAGAGCCTTGCAACGTTCTAGAGAAAAAAAATAGCTGTGGCGGTGTAAGAAGTTACTAGTGATAGATTTTTTTTTTTATATCGAATTTCGACATTAAGGTACACAAATAGTGCATAATTACAATTATTGTCAATGTCATTACCGGTGTACTTAAGGAAATATTGTGCAAATTGACACAAACAATGCTTTCTAAACTTGTCAGGAATTCAATTATTTCCTTGGCCTCAAGTTACTGAATAGGAAAAAAAAATACAAAAAAATTAGAGGGAAGATGGGCTCCAGCGGGAATTGAACCCACGACCTCTCGCACCCAAAGCGAGAATCATACTACTAGACCATGGAGCCGATTATAACTTTGTGGGCTATTTATTAACTTTTGAAATATTTTTTATTATCTATTAGTTAATTCTTATTAATTATTCCATCACTATTGATTTCAAGAATCAACAATAAAAAATGAAGTCAGTTTTTTTCAAATAAAATTTTTTCCCTTTTACGCACGTATGTATTAATCTACCTTATGATCAATCTCTAGCATAACAAAAGAAATCCAACGCATTAATTCCCAAGAAATAGATCGTAATATTTCCGCGTCGGGGTCTTGGCATGCACAATATAAAGACTCTCCTTATATATTTGTTGCAAACGTACCTTTTGATTTGACGGAGGGTGATTTAATTGCAGTATTTTCTCAGTAGGTGATATTTATTTATCTCACTTTTGTCACCAACAGTTTTTTCTAACACAATATCTTTCGTAGATATGGTGAAATTTTAGACATACAGCTAGCTCGTGATAAAAATACAGGCCAGTCTAAGGGTTTTGCTTTTTTGAAATATGAAGATCAAAGAAGTACTGTTCTAGCTGTTGATAATTTGAATAACATTCAAGTAAGAACTGAGTTTAATCCTTAAGTCATTAATAATGAACGTAATTTATTAAAATATCTGCATTAGCTATTGGGGCGTACAATACGAGTAGACCATGCAAGCGCTGAAACGAAAGATGGGCGTCGTAGGACGGGAATGAACGCTGCTCCACAATTGATTAAAGGTGGCTGTGTTACTTTTATTCTGATCACTTATTTACTATTCTCACGAAGTATTAATTTCCTTCTTTGTTAAATATAATGTCAAAAGATGATGGAAAATCATCTGATTCAGATTCTGAAGATGAAGACGAGTTTGCTGATAAATTTGATCCAGATGATCCGATGAGAGATTATCTTATTAAAAAACTGAAGAAAGAAAAGAAGAAAGCAAAGAAGCGTGCAAAGAAAGAAAAGAAGAAAAAAAGTCATAAATCTTTAATATAATGCGGTTGCAATAGGCTAATATCTTTTGTAACCAAAATAATGTTTAATAGTGTTATATATTAACATGTCTACTTATAGTAAGAAGTTCATCATATTTCTTGAAAATTAGATATTAATGTAGGCTGTATATTAATGTTTTATCGCGTCGTGATTGGCCATTTTTTTGGTCTTGTTTTCACATTACCGTATCTACCCAAAGTAATTCTCAGGGCGTTATTTAGGGACATGCAATTTGAAGAGCCAATGGTTAATTTGGCCGAGTTAAACCTTTGGCCAAATTACATGTTTCTAAATAACTTCTTGGATATCATTTTGGATAAATGCAATACATTTAGGGAACCTGCTATGACACTATTGGCATGTTAAATTTTATTATTTTTTAAACTGTATTCTAGGCAAATTTGCTTAGAAAATTAAATTATATTTAGTATTTTTAAATAAAATAATAATTTATTAATAATATAAGGTATATTTTATTTATGAAATATATTTTTAAAAACATATTTTATTAATTTTATTATAAAATTTTTTAAAAAATATTAATAAATTTTTATATAATAAAAATTTAAAGTTTTTATTTAAAAACTTTTTAAATTTTTTAAGATTTTATGTTTTTGAAACTAAAAAAAAAATTTATATTTTTGGTTTAAATTACAGATAAACTAGTCAGAGTTCTTATTCTTGCATGTAATTTTTATTTTGTTATAAACAATTTTAATTTATTTCAGTACTTTTATACTAAAATATACAGTTAAAATTATTAATAAAGATATGAGCAAGGTTTACCTTAACATCAAAAAAAAATTACATTTTATACAAGTTAAATTTTTATAAATAAATTACTAAAGTGTATTAGGGCATTTACAAGTATTATATAATTACTTTTTTTCTAAAATTTTTTATTAAACTAACCTAGTATTAACTTAAAATCAGTTATTTGATTTTAGTTAAAGTTACATAGTTAAGTTTTAAGCACAGCCATGTAATTTTAGCTAAAATCAAATGACTGACTATAGGTTAATACTGAGTCAGTCTAATGAAAATTTTCAGAATATGAAATAATTACATAATACTTGTAAATGCCTATACTATATAAAATTATATAAAAATGATCTATATGCTTCTTATTCTTAATTTTAATTTTAATTTAATTTTAATTAAAAATTTTATTTTTTATACAAAAAAGATTATTTTGATTTATATTTTACATTAATTTTACATTTATATATAAAGTAGTATTATAATATTATAATACTATTTTTTAAGCTATATTTTAAACAAATTTGTATAAAAAATTAAATTTTATTTAATATTTTTTAAATAAAATAATAATTTATTAATAATATAAAATATACTTTACTTATGAAACTTTTTTTTTTAAATATTAAGGTAAGTACTTGCAATCTAGGATTTTATTGATAGTATATTTGGTTAATAATTGCATTACAACCACAAGAAGCAATTATAGAAAGAGTATACAACTAGTTATTTATACAACTTTAGTCATTATCTAATTTAAGTAGTCTGCCTGAAGGTTCTATACTAGCTGTTATATCTGGAACCTGCTTGTAAATTCTTTATTTAACCACTCTAGATTTCATATCTACCCACTTACCTTTGCCTACCAATGATCCTAACCAATACTGATAAAAATATATCATAGTTACTAAGTCTTTAAAGCAGTTTTTTGGAATTTTTAACCTTGTATTAAACCTTCTAAAATCTTCTGTATTTTATTCTTACAGTTGACCCAGTATTGTTATAACCAAGACCAACACTGATAATCAGAGCATATTATTAAACTACTATGTTTTTATAGAGTTCACCCAATCTTAGTACTGACTTTACAACATATCTTTATTACTTTAGTATTTAATTCAAGTTTTACCAAATTACTATTTTAGATAATTCAGAAAGATAGATTGAAACCATATATCTTTGGTTTACATGTTTGTCAGCATGTATTCTTTTTCTTCAAAATCTGAAAATTCTGGCAGCCTGATTAGTTCATTCGGTCCCTCCTCAAAGACCAGCATATTTGCACAGTTTCACAAATTCTAGCTCTATTTCATAAGTCTAGTCTTTACAGTAGTATTATCAAAAGTTCAGGTTATCTCTCTACTTAGGTCTTCCAAGTAGGCTTTTATCTTTCTATTTGGTTTCTATAATTTACATGGCCTAAGAACTTATTTTGGATTCACACTATCTGGTACTGGTTTGTGTTTCTTTATACAATGTTGTATAAGTATCTAAACCTTTTAGTCATACTAGTATGATACAGGTTACAGGTATCTTATCCCAACTAATCATAAAAGACAGTCAACTATAATACAGAAAAAATTATAAATTTTCATCATCACTGAGATTTGAACTCTAAACCTGTCACTTGGAGATTGACAACCTATCTACTTCACTAGGTCATCACATTTCATGAAACATTTTTAAAAACATATTTTATAAACTTTATTATAAAAAATTTTAAAAATAAATTTCTATATATTAAAATTTTAAAAATTTTATTTAAAAATTTTTACTATTAAAAATTTTTTAAGATTTTTTAAAATTTCATATGCTTTCAAAGCTAAAAAAAATTTTATACTTTTTATACAAATCTAAATTTTTATAAATAAATTACAAAAATGTTACTAATAAAAATTGTTATTCTTTATATAAACTAAAATATTCTATTAAGAACTATAATATAAATTTAAAATTTAATTTTAAAAAGTTTACTAATAATTTGTACATAATTTTTTTAATTACAACTTTTTTCTAGATTTGATTATTTTTGGTTTCTA